TCTAAAAGGAGAATGTCACTTTATTTGCTCTTTGTGAATTCTTCTGTGATAACGTGTTTCTGTTATCTGCTTGCGTTGCACTTCCGATCAAAACAGTTGGGTGAACTTTCAGAATGCCTTTCACGGCACGCCGTTCACCTCCACCAAATGCTAAAATGGACATGACATCGGAAGAACGAGATCAGCGAACCGTCTTCATTCTGCAGGTGATTGATTCACTTTTTTTTTTTTATAAATTTGGAAAAAGCGGATGTCTTTTTCTCCTTTTTTTTCCAAATCCGCTGATGGTTTTGAATGTTTTTGCGATATTTGGAAAATGTTGCTTCAGATTGCAAAGGAAACTCGACCACGTGACCTGGAGGAATTCTTCTCTAGCGTTGGGCATGTGCGTGATGTGCGTATTATCACGGACTCCAAAACGAGACGTTCAAAAGGAATTTGCTACGTTGAGTTTTGGGAAATCGAAAGCGTAAATTTGGTAGGTAGTTCTCTTTTGAATGAAGTCGTTGTACATTTGCAGTGACATACATGCGCCACGGATGCATTAGCTTTGCCAGATTCACTTCAACCCCAAGAGTTCTCATACATTTTGCCTCGATGGATATGCGTTATCTGCTACTTCAGCATTTCCGGCTTATTCACTTGAATTAGGCCCAAAAATCTTTCGTCCTAGCTCTTTTTCTTCACCCATTTGTACCACTTTTAATTATGGACGAACATATTTTTTTTTTTCTTGCCAGACATCTCTTACGGTTGAACTTCATTTTTTAATTGTTTTCAGGCCCTCGCACTGAATGGACAGAAGTTATTGGGAGCACCGTTAGTGATCCAGCCAACTCTGGCTGAACGAAATCGTGCTGCAAACAATACAGTTGGGGGAACTCTTGGCTTTGGCCCAACAAACACGACTGGTCCACTGAAGCTTTATGTGGGCCAGCTGCACACAAGTATTACCGAGGACATGTTGGGCAGGATCTTTGATCCATTCGGAAAGGTGTTTTTTCGGTTAGAAACGAAGAACTTAACGAACTCTTTCCATCGGCTAGTTTTGGGTGGGGCTGGTTTCTTCGAAGAGACTTTTTTATGGTAAAAAGAATACTGCACAGGACTGCACTGAAACCTTTTTGAATTGTCGAGTTTTT